GTATCAAAGGTCCTTGGCCTTCCTTAAGGCCTCGTTGGCTAAAGGGGTCTTTAACTACAAGAAGTCGGTGAGGGACTTTGCCCGAGTCTCGCGACCGTAGCCCTCGTGTAACCGGCCATTTCCGTGTGACAACTTGCATATTCGATGGACTGCGAGATGAGGAACCGAATTACTGCCCTCTGGGACTGGCAAGTGATAGGTCCGAAGGCATATGCCAAAATCGACAACGCCGTCTCTTATTTGAATTTCCAGCAGTCTTGTATCAGGGGTCACGTCTTTTGACAGAACAAGCACACTTGACATGACTTCTAGATGACATGAAATCGTAGACATTCAATGTTTAAAAGGATGGCTAAGAAGCTATCTACGTCGAGATGAATTGGCTCTAGAATATAGGTCGACTGTTACACGGAAAAGGCCCAACAGATCGTGAAGCCCAACAAAGGGGCTTCGCCGATACAGGACTTGTTAGTTACACAGCTAGAACACGTGCCCAGGTAAGGACCCTAGGCCCTGGCGTTCCTTTTATGTATATAAGGCGGTCACCCTTCTCTTCCCTTCTTATAGTAACTCAAGACCTTGGAGACCCTTCGAGATTATTATTGAATTGAGCCCCTTCTGCTCGAAGCCTTCATACTGAACCCTTGTCACATCGACAACAAGAATAGAACAGAATGAATTTATGAAAGTAGTCAGTTAATATTTAGTCCTGACACATGACGTGAAAGATCAATGCAATGGTGAGGATAAAGAAGCAGTGGTTGCTCGCCTCTCGTCTTTCGACGCCTTAGAAGCCGTATTCAATGAGAAAGCATACAATAGTGCGCGTATTGTTCCACACGATTTCATAAAGGGAGAAGAGGGAATTGAGGGGTGTGGGGAAATATGTAGTTTATAGTATTCCAAGGCATTTTCTACTACTTGACACACTACGCTCCTTGTATGTTTACCGCTCAAATGTGTGGTAAGCCGAGCGTTGATGTTAGCTATGAATGTTTCAAAAGTCACTGAAGTTTCAGCTATCAAGTAAATGGGCTTCAATACCGAAGAATTTAGCACCACTTATATTCGTTGATATTAGTTTACCATAATATGCTTGTTGAGTTGGCCTTTTCTAATTTAGAAGAGTGTAGGTCCATGGTTATATGGGAACGAGGCGCTGTTATGATAGTCGCTTTAATGCCGCAACCGTTTGTTGATAGTTTTGATCAGTCAGGCTCACAAGCGCAAGCGACGTCTTTGGCGTTACATCACTACGGATATTCTTTAGGCTTTATGCATGAAATTAGGCTTGGCGGTCCCAACCAAGACCCCATTCTCAATATCGTCTCTTGCAGCAACCCTGTTGGCGATTTCCCAACTAGGCCACTCGCTCGCCCAATAAGCCCAACTAATTCCGTTCCCCCTTTCCCCTCACCCTAGTCCATGTCGGCCAAGAAGGCAAAGTTTGGATTGCGACTGAGCATCCAACTCGATTCCACGTGCTGGCTCTGTCAGCACACTCAACACCGCGGACCAGGATACCGAAATAATGCAGCCGATGGAAACCAGATGAACTATTAATTTTGATCTCAAGACATCAGCCACGTTTTCAATTTCTCACTACTTATTGGCGCTGCGCGACAACCAACGGTTCCCAACATCATGTCTCGCTCCACTATCCTACGAGCGGCAACAAAAACACTTATATATGTCGCATTCTTGCCTCATGCCAACAACCACATCACCGTCCTCTTCTCACGTGTGGCGAACGAATCACCATGGTTCGGTCTATCCTGCTTGTCGCCGCGCTGGCTGGCTTCACCCACCAAACTGCCATCCCTTGCACCAACAACGCCAAGCTGCCCAGCTTGAAGTTCCGTGACGATGGAAAATTCCAGATAGCCGTCTTTTCAGACTTTCACCTGGCGGAATGTGCGTATCGTCTCCCACTTTCGTCCACGGACTCAACACCCACTAACCGAGGCCAGCTGCCGCAACCCCCCGCGGGCCCAAGCAAGACAACAAGACGATTCAAGTCATGGCCGATGTCCTCGACAAGGACCGCCCAGACCTTGTCGTGCTCAACGGCGATCTCATCACCGGAGAAGTCACCCTCAAGGACAACAGCACAGACTACATCGACCCGCTGGTCGCGCCTCTTGTCGAGCGCAAGCTCACATGGGCCTCGACCTACGGCAACCACGACCACACCTTCTCCCTGTCCGCCGAAAACATCTTCAGCCGCGAACACGAGTACGTCGGGGCGCGGACGCAGCGCATGGTCAGGACCGCCGAGGCCGGCGTGTCCAACTACTTCCTGCCCGTATACGCCCGCTCGTGCAAGGACACCACGGCCTGCGACCCCGAGCTCCTCCTCTGGTTCTTCGACTCCCGCGGAGGCGCGTACTACCAGAGGCCAACGGCGGCGGGAGCGCCCACCCCCCAGCCCAACTGGGTAGACACCACGGTGGTAGAATGGTTCCAGGGGACGAATGCCGCGTTCGTCCAGAGGGCAGGCCGCGTGATCCCGTCGCTCGCGTTCGTTCACATCCCCCCGAACGCGACGAGCCACGCGCAGCGCCGAATCCACCCCAACCGCAACCCGGGCATCGACCTCGAGCAGGTGTCGCAGCAGTCGCAGGGGTGGTGCGCAAACGGCACGCAGGACTGGGACAACCCCCGGTGCCGGTATGGAGGGTTCGACGTGCCGTTTATGAGTGCCCTGGCCAGCACGCCCGGCCTCATGGGACTGTTTTACGGGCACGACCACGCGAATACGTGGTGCTATAGGTGGGACGGGGAAGTGCCGGGGACGGGCATCGTCGCGAGGGGCATCAACCTGTGCTATGGTCAGCATACTGGCTACGGGGGCTATGGCGACTTTATCCGGGGCGGGCGTGAGATTGTGCTGGATGAGGAGAGGCTGAAGAGGTTCGAGGTTGATACCTATATGAGGCTGGAGGATGGGAGGACCGTGGGCGCGGTTTCGTTGAATGCGACGTTTAATCAGGATTGGTATCCTGCGACGCCTAACGATCAGACAAAGCTGGAATGAGGGGATAAATATATGGGGGGAAAAGCATGTAATCGGTCGGATACTGGCCGTGACGTTTTATACTATAATGTCTGGTGTTATAGTGCGGAGTATATAGTCAATAGCACTTGGTGTATATTTGTTGGTGGGCAACTATATTCTGCCACCGGCTGTAGACTACATATGTCAACTACTTGAAACAAGCGCCAAACGCCCATCTTGTTCCTGTTCCATGTCCCCTTGGAAACGAGAGGCGCCGTCACACCGGGTGCTTGCCGTTGACTCGACACAAGACGTCGCCCCGCCCGGCGCCGAGGCTCGGCAGGATTATTCCTCCGGACGACACATTTGATCAGACATCATCAGACCACGAAACATGGGTGGATGTCATTGCGGCGCCGAACATGCTCCACACGGCCGAGAACATGTCTTGAATTAGAGTTCAAATATGGCCAACTACCATTCAGCTCACCACGATTTGGGTTTGGGATCTGGGATATAAATGCCAAACCAGGCCTCCTCCCCTCCTCGGTCCTCACGAGCCACAACCTACACACCGTTGACCTCACATAGGAACACGTACACGGCGCTTCCCTTTCTTCACCATCCATCATGCCTCCATCACCACCCACCTACGCCGACCAGCAAGCCTGGAGAGACATCCAGGCCCATCTCCCCAGCCGGCTGCACTTCACGCCCGAGCACTCCCCCGTCGAAGAGTTCTGGTCTCACCGCGGACACACCCTCCACCTCGACCGATGGCCCAACCCTTCCTCCAAGGTCCGCCTCATCCTCCACCACGGCGTCGGCACCAACGGCCGCCAAATGTCCCTCCTCCTCGGCGTGCCCCTGCACACCGCGGGCTTCGACCTCGTCGCCATCGACATGCCCGGCTACGGGTGCACCCGCGTCTCCCCCCAGAACAAAAACTACCCCTACGACGAATGGGTCCAAATCGCCAGCGACCTGATCGACCGCGAGATGCGCGACGACCCCCGGCCCATTGTGCTCTATGGCCTCTCGGCCGGCGGCATGCTCACCTACCACGCTGCCGCCAAGAACAAGCGCGTCAGGGGCATCATCGGAATGACGTTTCTCGACATGCGCATCCAGCAGGTTGTCGACGCGACGGCCCGGAATATCGTCATGTCCCGCGTGGGCATACCCCTTGCCAAGGTGGCCAATGTCGCGGGCCTGCCGTGGTTCAGGCTGCCCATGTCGTGGGCGAGCAAGATGTACGCGCTGGTGAATGATGCCGCTGCGCTTCGTGTGTTTCTCGGCGACAAGTCGTCGGCGGGGGCCATGGCGTCGGTGCGGTTTCTGGCGGCGTATGCGAGTTATCGGCCGGCGTTGGAGTACGAAGACTTTGACGTGTGTCCGGTCTTGTTGACGCAGCCGGCGGACGATAGGTGGACGCCCTTGCATCTGAGTGAGCTGGTTCTCGGGAGGGTGAAGAAGGTGCCGGTGCGGATTGTAGAGTTGGAGGGGGCTGGGCATTATCCCTTGGAAGATAAGGGGCTGCAGCAGATGGTAGATGCTATTATTGAGTTTTTGAGAGAGGTGGAACAGCAAGTGTGATGCTGGAATACTTGTGGGCTGGTTTTCAACATGGGTATCTTTGGTGGACGTTTACGTTGTTTATACGTGGGGACGCGTATAGACCGGAGAGGCCGAAGCAGTCGATGCTCTTGGGCGATACACGTGGCATGTCAAGAGGAAGTGGCTCGTGCAAGACAACAGCATGGCAGTAGTATTACCAATGGTTCAGACTGCCGTGGCGGCCATCTCATTTCTCATTGGCAGTTTATAACCGTCTTGGCTATATGCAAGCTCACGGTGAACTACATCCCGAGTTGGGCAGAACAACAGGAGCATCCTCGATATCAACGCTTAGACAATGGGACAGGCAGATCATACGACACGCATCGAAGGCAATTTGGATAACCATTCATCATTAAGTAGCCGCCGAGGTATCGTAACAGAGTCAAATGGCTGCCGATATACCACATTCATCTCTAAGCCCATCACTGTCCTTGAAGTCCGGGTCTTGCTGACATTTAAAGAAAGTTTTCTCGTCCGTGTAAGACCCCTTGAACCTGAACCCAGCAGTTTCGTCGCCGCCTTCCTCCGAGAACTGGGCCTTGAATTCAAAGCCAGCCATATCTGCGTGGACCATCACAGCTGGGTACAGTCGGCCTTGTACATTTTGGAATGCTAGGCCTGATGTCATGTACTCTGGTTAAAAACAAGTCCGTACCACGTAAAAGGGGCAGCCAGAACAGTAATGTACGTACCAATGATTTCGCCGTTTTTGGTGTAAAAGGCCGTTCTGTGCTTGAAGTTTACTCCGCATCCGATAACATCGCCCTCGCCGTACTTCGGAGCGCAGTTGGGATTCACGTAGTCCTCTTGGTTGCCAAAATGGCCGTTGCCGCCATGATACCACCAAGCTCCCCGCCAGTCTGCGCCGGAGCCCAACGGGGTGTCTTCACGACAGAATCCCACGGCAAAGCGCTTACAGGGGCTTTTTCACGTGTTACTTGTAGGCGTTGAAAGATGGGGAACGGGCTGTGCATACCTGGAATTGCAGCCTTCGTTGACAATAGTCACCTCGAAATAGTATACGTCGTCCCTCGTCGGCACCATGGGGTGGTTCGCTCGTGCGATGCCTATGCGGCACGGCTCACAACGGTTCTCTAGTCAGGGCTATTCGTTAGTGATTTTTCCCTACTCTCTCCGACTTCGCATTCACGGCAAGTTTACGTACTGCTCACCGAGATCGATCTGGCATCGGGCTGACGCAGGAGTGAGAAAGACTTGTCCTGGGGGTGCCATTCTGTTGGAGCCTGTAAGAGAGGCGGTACGCCTTGACTTCCCCCGGGCACACCCAGCGTTGCATGGCGAATCATGTCGGCGATTTCAGGATTGTCATATTGTTCAGCGGTGTACAGCGCGGTCCATCCATTGCTGTCCGCCAGCGCCAACGTGGAAGCAAAGTCGGTCATGATCTTGGCCAGCAGCTCCTTGACAAAATCTGCCTGCCCAGCGGCGGCGGCGGCATTGATGGCAAGGACAAAGGGTGATTCAGTTTGTGCCAACTTGTCTACTTGACGGAAAACAGTGCCAAACATGTCGGCATCGCCTCGGAGAGCTGCCCAGTATAACGCATCACGACCGCGCACGTCTCCGGAAAGAGGATCACCACCGGCCTCCAGCAGTCTCTGAACAGTTTTATGGTGGCCACGACGAATAGCGTATATGAGGGCCGTCTGGCCCCGATGGTCCTGTAGGTTGACGAGAGTGGGATGCTCTGGTAGAATGTCCGGGCACATGCCATGCCTGACGGCGACCATCAGCAGCGTCCGGCCAGCCGAGTCTCGGGCATTATGATTCATATCCGGATACTTGTGAAGCAACCGCTTTAGACTGAGCCGGCTCCACATCCAGGGATATCCGAGAAGACGTCGTCCAGGACGGCCGGGGACGGCACCGTGTTCAACGAGTACTAAAATGTCTCTACGGTTCTTTTGAATCGCCAGTCGCTCCGGCATCCCGCGCTGAGACCCGACATCCGCCTTGGCTTCGACGAGGAGTTTAATAATGTCAATGCTGCCCTCACGGATCGCGGCGCACAGCGCGGTGCTGGATAGTCCGCGGGCGAGGTTGACGTCGGCACCATACTCCAACAGAATCCCAACCAAGGTCGGCGAACTCCGTTTCACCGCCGCTTGGAGTGCCGTATAGTAAGGGCACGACTCGGGACTTGTGGCATTCACATTGGCCTCTCGTCCCAGAAGGAACTTGACAGTCTCCGTCTTGTCTTCCCATACCGCCGCCATGAGGGGAGTTCCGTACTCATCAGACATCTCCTCGAGATCTGCCCCTTGATGCAGAAGGTATTCGACTATCTCCGGGGTATCTCTCATGGCAGCGCGATGAATGGGTGCCGTGCCCTTCTTGTCCGCGGCGTTGACATCCGCACCGCGTTCGACAAGGAGTTGAACTGTAGCAAGCCGCCCATAGAATGCGGCAACATTGAGGATGCTGCCGCCATCATCACCCGTGCAGTCCGGTTGGAAACCGGCGTCTAGATAGAGTCGGATGGTTTCGGCGCCATCTCCCGTTGCCGCCCGGAAGACGGCATGTACAACATTACTATTGCTGCGAGTCATGGCATTTGCGCTTCGCTCGAGGAGTAGCTTCGTAGCTTCGGGGTTGAAACAACATTCCTGTAGAACCGTCTTCTCTGTCGGAAGCTGCTTGCTCCCAATGTCCACGCCTGGGTGGCTTTCCAACACCATTTCCAGCATCTTTGTGTCCTTGCGATTGACCATGAGCAAGAGAGGCGATACATTTTGGTTATCCCTTGCATCTATATCTGCGCCTTTGGACAAGAGCATCTTGACGACGTCCACATCCCCCCTTTCGACCGCAAGATGCAACGGCTGCTTTCCCTGGGTATTTCGAACACAATGTTCTGCTCCAACGTCAAGTAGAAGTTCCACGACGGGCGCATTGCCCGCCAACGCGGCTGCATGCAGCGCCGTACATGCAATATGAGCGTCGACTCTCACATTGACGTTCCAGCCGCCGGCCAGAAACAAAAGAGTCATGTCTTTGCCATTTTGCAAATGTTTTGCCGCCATAACCAACATGTTTTCTTGGGTGCTCTGAATTTTCTTTGGGTAGATGCCTGTCTCAAGAAGCATCTTGATAATGTCAGTGTGGCCTTTCTGCACGGCCAGGGTTAGGACATTATGGCCATCTCTGTTTACGTGACAAAGGCGGTAATCCTTTGCCCGCGCCGCAAGGAGCGTTCTCATGACTTCCACATTGCCCAACGATGCAGCAATATGAAAGGCTCTCTCTCCATTGGAGGTAATGGCGTCCACGTCGGCATCATGCTCAAGCAGCAGCTGAACGGAAAGACTGTGACCAGCCTCGGTTGCGAGGTGCAAGGAGGTTTCTCCCGAGTTATTCCTCGCGTCAATATCGAAATTACCGGACTGCTTATATCTTTCTTCCAACAATAGTTTCATGATGCCTATGTGTTGGTTCTTTGCGGACAAATGCAGTGCCCGGTTTCCGTCTTCATCCGTGAAAGCAGTTTTGGCTCCAGTTTCGAGAAGCCGACGAGCAATCTCTGCGAAGCCGTCTGATGCTGCACAAAGGAGATCAAGGGATAGGATATCTTCCGAGTTGTATTCGGGGCGTTCGACCAACGCACGAAAGGCGGGCCAAACATATATATCGTCTTGTTGGGCATCTTTGTCTTGTGAATTCATGATGTCCAACCGACTCGGTACGATGTCGCTATGTTTTGGCTCATCAACAAGTTTGGCGGACCGTAGCAATACTTGCGTCGATATGCCCAGGTCCCTTCTCTCTCGATGTCAGGAAAATCGGCTGTAGGCCGCTGGCTTATTTGCGGGAACAAGACTAGAAACAACCATTAGAGCAATGAAAGATTTCTCCTCGCTGAAATCACTGACCTTGTCGCGGTGTATCACTCGAATGCTTTCTCCGTGATGAGTTGAGCAATCACCAAGTTGGTTGACTGGCAGGTGAGAAAGAATACGACCTGGGACAATTTTCTGAACCGTCTTTAATATATGAAATCGAGTAGCTAAATTTTCCGCGCCAGGTGTTCAGTCGTGCCTGGGATCTCAAAGAAGACGACATGAGGCTGTCCAGACTCCTGACCATGGTGGCATGGCGCTTTGATACACTCGCTGATACAGCATCGGAAACAATTCACAACATGACGGGTCATATTCTCGTACAACATGGTGGGTGCCAAGTTATTCCATTGCATATTGACAAACAGGCACGGAGTGATGGGGGTATGCACGGGTTCAATTCTGATCCGGGCGGACAATGGAACATGTCGCTATTTTTACCCGTGGCTAGAACAAAGCCATCGCGGCTTGATTCGAGCTGTAACACTGCATCTCTTGTTTTGAGGCTGTGAAAGAAATCGAGACAATTTAGCAAATGTGCGGTTACACCGTGCAACATTTTTCTCAAGACCTCTGAGAATGGTATTGCACAAAGACTCGAAAGGCAATTGCTAAAGTTAGCTCCAAGCACTCTAGGGTACTCTTCCACGTTTATATCCGGCCTGGCATGTTGGTTCGATCTGCCGCCTCTTTGATCGAGGCTGGCGATTGTCTGCCGTCGGGTTTTACCGCCAAAGTTGATGCGAAACGAAACGGCACCTTGCTTCCCACACGTAGCCAAGCTCAGAGCCTGCGGCGATCCCCGCGTCCCTGGCGCTGGACTTGAGTGCTTCATCGAGGTCTTGTTGACCTAGATTTATTCACGGTGAAGACACCAACGGGCAAGAACCGGCTAAGTGGCGAAACGGCGAGGATGGGCAGACTGCCCCTGAGAAGATGTTGGATGGAAAAGTCAGGAGGAATCATACTGCCGCATCAGGCCCGACTGCAGGAGAAACTTCTCCAGCGAACAGTAAGCGAGTTCCAAAATTATAATTCACAATCTAATTTCCCAGGATCATTTGCGAAATGAGGCGACGCCAAGGTTTGATAGCTCAAGAAAGACTTTGTATACATTCATAAAGTATATACATCAACATTCTTGCCTGTCATCGGGGCAATTCCAACAGCTGGTAAGAGCTATAATTTACAGATTATAGGGCTCATGTAACAAGGTCCCAGTGAGGGCTTGGAGAAACAACTCAATTTATCCAAGAACAGTCCTCTGTATTCAAGGCCCTTCGTTGTCTTCAAGGTCTAGAAGACCAAAGAGCTGAATTTGCACGAGACTTCAGTGAGCCTCGTGCCCCTGGCCTCGTTCTCAGAGCCCTTCATGTTATCCATGCGACACCATGTTGAGTTGTATAGGCAGTGTCGTGGAGAGTCGTTGGCAACTTGCCCTCTGTCATAATGTGTACCGACGGATCTGGAGTCTCCCGCACTAGCGTGAAAAGATTTATTTCATCCCGGCAGCAACTAGCGTATCGGATCGGTATTCTCCGGTCCGTGATATGCTTGGGTCTGCTCGCACTTTGATCCAACGTCGAGCAGCCGTAGCGGGACTTGGACCTCAGGATCGTTGGTCTTGTTGGAGCTGTAGTGATCCGAGATACATTCCCACAACTACTCCTCTTCCCTGCTGAAGCCAGGTTCTGATTCCATGATACGACTGTCCCGGCCATTATTGTTGCGGGTTCTCCCATTCCGCGCACCATGCGGGTTCGATCAGATGTTGCAAGATGGAGACCCTCAACAAGATCCAGTCTCCTAATGGGATAATGTTTAAATTGCCAAACGGCTCTGAGATCAACTTTAGTGTGGTTTCTTGGCAGTGTAGCTTGGTAGATGGGAGCAGATCTATCTGAAGATTGCTAAACTATTCACAAACTTGATATAGCTGGCACTCTGTGTTGATAGTACCCGAAACTCGGTGGACCGTTCTCTGGATTCCACGCCTAGTTTTTAGCTGGTAGAAGTGCGCTCGCCCAGACTCCTTCTAGTCATCACAGGCTTGATATACAAAGCAAATGCTTTGGGAGATAATACCTGCGAACTATAGCCACTCTATCTGCAACCAGGAAGCCGCTCCTACCGTCACTGATGAATTTGATGAATTTATTACTCTCAAGTGGATAAAAATCTCCATATTTTATTAATATTCCAGCTAGTCATCGCACCAACTTTTCGCGCTGCGTGGAGGTTTGACTATACAACCGACTTGGCGTCTTAGCAGCCGCCGTATACTTGCCAAGTACTCAATAAAGACAATCCTACAGAATAAAACACAGATTAGCCTGCTAGATACGGACTCCAATTGCATGATTCCTGCGGCCAAGGGCTCACCTATCCACAGGCAAAATGCTTCCACGCTGGGTGCTGTGTTGCTCAGAGAGACATGCCAAGCCCACGTGGGATCAGGCCCGATCTTGCAAATCCTGGTTGACAAGCGGCCAGCTCTACTATTCAAAATAACGTACATGGTCCATTGTAGGATCTGTCAGATGAGGCCCACCGCAATCTCGCGTATCGCTCACTGTATGCTCTTGTAGGATCCGACTTTGGTGTTGTGTGCCGAGCCAAGATGCCTTGGGTATTCAATCTTCGGTGGCTGAAGCTTGTAGGACCTAGAATACTCCTCCAACAAGGCCCGATGAGAACATCGCTTGTGAGGCTCCGTTATTGGTCCATTGACAATACAAATATTACGACGTTACAGACTCCTTGGCAGTAGGGCGAGGCATTGTCGTTGGCCCACCATCTCTGAAAGTTTAATATCGAGGACCGCAATTGATATTCTATCTTGCTCAATGTGAGGACGCGTTCTTTCTTCAAGCAACTAGCAGAGCAAAAAGAATGTGCTTCTGCTAGAAAGAAGCTTTGCGGCAATTCTAGAGCCCGATTCACCTGCAAGGCATGAGATTATCAATAAGACGATTCAAAAACTTGTACAATACGGAAACCCAGCGTGTAGGATGGTATAGAGTGATATTTTTACGGGAAATTCCTGGTAAATTCGCGGATCCACGTCAAAACAAGTCTCTATAGACTGTGGCAACATTCCGGAGACTATAATGGCCTTACCTAGAACATACTATTCCACTTTAAAGTCCATTTTCCCCATTTCCATGTTTTTATTCATTGAAGCCGAGGCAACTCTGTTCTTGAAGAGGCACCGTATCCATGTCCTAGCATCGTCTCTTCCGGAGTTGACGAATGATTTTAGATGTCCCGCGAAAAGAAATTGCATCCTTCCCGCCATCACATGGCCCATAATCGTATGATGAGAAAGAGTCACCAGGCTTGTGCGTTTTCAATAGTCTAGCGAGATTCCCCTGCATTCATTATAGAGTACCCGCTCGTATAGGCCGCATAGCCGGCCGCCCGGTTACCCGCGGTCAAGGAGCCATATACGAAGTATAAAGCATACACGTAACCCGGCCTATATCGTGGAACAATCTCCAATTCGACTATTTTCCCGATCACTTGTTCAACGCTTCTCGCTACCATGAAAGTCACCTTTGTCCTGATTCAGCTTCTCGCGGCCATGGGATTCGCAAGCCCAGTGCCCGAGGAGGAGCCAACTCGCGTAAAGCGCCTGCAGTTTTGCAATCAGTACGGCGGCTGCAAGCCCCAACCGTCCGCGAGCACCTAGTAAGTCCATGTCCCTTCCATGAACGAGATGTTGTGCTGGGGGCTGATCCATAGATGTGAGACTTGCAGGCATGCCGTCTACCCTCCGAATCTCAACTGCCGCCACGGTCCGGGGGATAAGCATATTCACGAATTCAATATATAGTGGAATAAGCAGAATTCTATCCGATTATTCACTTTTCTATGGCTGTGGAAAGGGGGGATGTGGGTTTCAATGTGGCATTCTCGGAACAGTCGACTACGACTCGTTTGTAGCTTATCGTATGTTCTCTGGAGTTAAGAAATTCAACTCGCCGCAAATACCAGGTCTTTTCTAGGAAAAATTGTGACTATAGCATGAAAATCAAGACTGACATTTAGGCACCGCTGTAGCCAGAATTTGTTCGCCCAAAACTTCCCATGTTGTAATCCATGTATCTTCCTGGACAATATTGCACAGCGCCTTGAACCACACCCCATTTTTACCCAACTTGATGGCTCCTGATTTAGAGGCTTAAACTTGACGTGGCGGCCTCCAGCTTGTTGCTTTCCCGGCAAATGTCTGTTATCATAATTCGTCATTGCGTCGATTCCCAGCCATATTGTAGAAGGGCACCTCCGTGACTTCTACGTACTTGGAAGCGTTTGTGTGCTGATTGCACGGCTAGAATCCTGGTGAGAAAAACACTCATTTCCACAGTACCCAGAGACAGAAAATAGGAGGGATACTGGAGGTGCGTATGTTCACACATACCGGGGTTCTCTCCTCGACTTGGCGCTGGATAAGCCTATGCGACAGGGTATAGTGTCAACGGAATACAAGGGAAGACAATTGCTTCACAATAAGAGCATGTTCTCTTCATATAGCACCTCCTTGGCGCACAAAGGGAAAGCCTCCCCCTCGCCACCACGAACAGAGCACATAAACATCTTTAAACCAGGCATATGCCCGCCATGAAAAGTAGAAAAGCAATAACCAGTTTCTTAACGGCCCTCAAGATCGGGCCAGCTCTCATAATACAGGGCAGGCTTCTATGACAATATTACAGGGCGTCTAATCTATGACATGTCTATACATCGCCCTCCCAATCCACCCTCTCTACGCCCTTCCTCCTATAATACACCCTTTTCGCCCACTTCCAGCCCTCGTTCCCAGC